TAATATTTATATAAATTAAATAATAGTTTTAGTATGTATTAAATCAATTCTTAATCTAATTTAGTAGTTAAATGTTTGAATATTTTTGTGAGACGTCCGATCAAATCATAGATCTAACCAATTTCTTGTATTTTATGGTGGTAGTTTAATATAAATTAAATATATATTTTGGGAATTTAAAACCAATGATTTATGTTGGTTAGATGGTTTAGCGCTTGCCTTACCTCCATTTGTGTTGGGTTTGAATCCAAGCAAAAGAAATCTCTCGTGGGACATTTTTCTCTTAGTTTTGTTTTAATAAGGTGATGACACATGTAGTTTAAATGACATCAACGTGAAAAGATAAAATATTTTAATTTATTTAAATATTTTATTATTATTTTAAGTTTTAATTATTTTTTACTATTAAATATTTTTAATTTATCTAAATAATATTTTAATATTAATCTAAATAGTATTTTAATATTTTTAATTTATCTAGATACTATTTTTAATATATCTTTTGTTATTAAATATTAAAATAATACTAATACATATATGATTATTAAGTATTTTAGTTAATTTAAATATATGCCTATGATTACTAGATATTATTTTAATTTAATTCAGTATTTTATTATTAAATAGTAAAATAATATTATCTACATAATATTAAAATATTTAAGTTTATCATACTCATTCAAATTGAAATAAAAAATTTAAATATTCATTCAAATACAATGATTACTGACGAGACTTGTATCTCGGTAGATTTAGATACTTTTTTAATGAGCTTCACCCCTACATAATTCGCATCTCTTTGGTTGACCTTTCTCTCTACCATAAAAATCCATACCGGTATGAATACGACTGGACTCAAGTCGACCCTTTGGACTTCTACGAAACATTGAATTTGGCAACCATTCATCATGACCCTTTTTCGACCAATATGATTCATTTGGGATTTGTCTGAACGCATAACTATAGACATTAATATCTCATGTAGGTGAAAGCACTCACCAACATAAGTGTATGCGCTTACACCAGTATACATACATGGATCGACTGCATAAGCATAGGGATATCTCCATGCCTGAAAGCGAACACAATCACACCATATGTGTCATAAATCAATTATAAATGTTTGGTCTTCTCCTCCTTCATTGATGTGTATGCATGAAACAACAAAAATGTGACTAATTAGATAGAAATTATGAACAAGCATTGATGTTATCAATTGCTCGTTTGATTCTATTTCTTCCAACACTGTAGGAGCCCAAGTTTTACCTCTATTTATGAGACACTCAATCTTATTTCCTTTATTGGACTAAACCTTAGTCAACTTAAAGTACGTTTCTTTCACTACACTCGCTATTAGGAGATGACATATACCTTTTAGTACTGAATTAATGACCTCAACAAGGTTTGTGGTCATGTGTACGTATCACCGACCCTCGTCGCACGCTTGTGACCATTTCCCCATGGTATTTTTTAAGCTCATTTCCAAACATGTTGATCATCATAAAATACCTTCAAATTCTCTAACCTCTTATCAAAATTTGGTCAACGTAGTTCATATCATGTTTCATAATATATATTGCTTTAAACATCAATTAAAAAACCACATAAAAAAATACAAACATGTTGAAAATAAAATTTACCCATGCTTAATATCTTACTACGAATGCGGGCGTTATGAAACTGATCAATAATATTCTTACCAATATGGCAAATACAAATGTGGGATATGTGTGTAGAGGTATCCAACGAGTTTTGGTAGATCAATTGCCTCCAAAATGTCAATTTCTTGATCGAATATCAAGTAAACTCCATCTTCTCGAACGACATATTGACATAAATTGGTCAAAAAGAATCCCAAGTCTCTATTGTCTCTCATTCAACAATGGCGAATGCAATTGGGATGATATTTTGTTCATCATCTCGCGCAACTGCTATCAACAATACATGCTTATATTGATCATACAACAACGTACCATCTACTTGAACCATATGTTTGCAAAATGGAAATCCTTTTATGCATGACTTGAATGCCTAAAAGAGTCTATGAAATATTTTATTACCGGGAACAAGTTGACCTTCTTTGTAATATGCAAGCATGGTTTGAGACTTCACTATGGTTCCCGGGATGAATCGATTCATTGCTTGTAACAAATGTGGTAGTTCATTGTACGATGTATCTCAATCTCCATACGTCAACTTAATTGCCTTCATCTTCGCATTCCTAACATTGTCGTATTTTACATGGTTTCCAAATTGGTTTCGAATAGATGCAACTAACACTGAACAAGGGATCATTGGATTCTTTTCAACTAACACCTTAAAGTATTCACATTTTACATCGGAGTCCAATAGTCGGTGGTCTTGTTCGATGAGCTTCGCAAACATGTGTGAGGACCATTGTACCTTGTGATGACCCAAGCATTGTGCCTCTTAATTTTCGACTCTGATCTTCCACTTGCACTATGTTCCATATTTAACACACTTCACATATATGGTTTTCTGGTTGGACTTTGGAACATGGACATCAACATGGCCTTTGATGAAATAATCTTTAATTGCCAACGTAGCTTCATTTTTTACTCTAAACTGCATCCCAACTGAAAATTCACCAGATTTTTGAATGATTCAACCATGTGGTATGGAGGTAAATGTAGAATGTCTGAGAATTCTGGTGCCCTCATCGCATCATAATCTATCTCATACATTTGAGGGGTAGGTTGATGCAGTGTTGGAACTTCATCAGTGTCCAAGTCAGGTGCACCACCACTGCAAAAATTATCATCGTCGGCCGAAACAGGTTCCTCAATTTCTTTATTTTCACCGGAATCATCATGAATTTCTCCCTATCGATTTTCAACATCAACATCAATAGTCAATTCCGAATGATGTATGTTTCTCTCCCTATACTCTATTGATGCAGATGTCCCACTGACTTCATTTTAACTTTCCAATAGTGCCATAAAACTATTTATCGACATGTATGTCGGGTCCTCGAACTCACTTCAAAAACCATTTGAGATGAATTTCCAACCACATTTCTTGATGACGCATGAATATTAGATATCTTAAGCACATCAACAAATAACTCAATAACTGCAATATTTATTGACTCATGTAATCCAGTCATGGTTTCAATATCATTATCTTTTTCAACTGATACTGCAACATATCTAACTAGATTGGGACATACCATACACCTGTACTTTAAACCATCAACTGTAGCTCAAATTTTCTTTTTATCATCTGTTTCATTTCTACAAATGTGATGTCCCTTTTGAACATCATATTTATAGGTATTTTAGACTGAAAAACAACTTCGGCCTCATTTTCCATAATATGACAATTATAATGGACAATCATGAAAAAGTTGTAGCTCATTTTCTCTACAAATTCAAAATTTATATTTAGAATAAAAAATAAAGGTACATACTATGATCATAAATCGTAAAATGATATTATACAATATAAAAATATTATAAAATAATATTAACATAACAACAATAAATCCATAAAAGGTAAAATACAACTACAAATATTTATAAAAATAATATTAACATAATAATCAAATTGTAAAATACATCAAATAAAATTTCTTCAAACTTAATTCACCGTTTCTTTTAACAACTTGATTTGGAAAAAAATATTTCTATCACTTTTGTCTAAAAAAATAACATACTAAATAACTAATTTGAGTCAAATAACAAAAATTTAGACAAATATACCATATAATACATACTTATATTAGAATAACGAAAGAAAAAATGCACCAAATTTTTTTAAATGCTCCCTCTATTAATTTCTTTTCAATTGTTCCCTCTATCAATTGCACTCTCCTCCAATTATTGTTCATTTATTTAGTTTTTAGATGATCATTATCGATTTCATTCCTATATATATATAACGGAAAGAGTTTTTTTTTATGTTCAACTAGTAATATATAAGGTATGAGTTAGGATATGGGGAATGAAATGGACAGCTTCAGCTTTTATCATTCGAATGGTAGCTACGTGATTAATGTACGGGGCATGCAATGGTGTCAGCCCTAAGACTCCATGCGACTCTAGGGCAAACACACATGGAACACTATGCGACTTACTAGGGGAAACACACATGAAGTATAATGCGACTTTGGGGAGTTTTGGCTTGGATGCAGGGAGTACAATGCATCTCTCCTATGTATTGTAGCATTCACCCTATTCAAGCAATTAATCCACGAGTAGCATTATCTGAGAATTTTTTCCCCTAGCATTATTCAAAAAAAAAATGCCAACCTTTTTTATGGATTAAACTTTTATTGTGCGTGGACAAATTACAAACCCTATAATATAAAAAAGTAAATCTAAAGATAAAGATTTGTATGATGAAGATTTCCACTTCTATCGCCTCGTATTTTTCCCAAGATTCTTTGCTCCTTAATTTCCAATTACCATATCATCACTACTAATGTTACCGGTCAAAATCCCTACTATTACTTTCTTGTGTTATAAAGTTAACTCGATTAAAAAATTTAAGTAAATTTTGAGAAAATTTCAATAATTTAAAAATATAAATTTTAGTAATTAATTGATTGATTTTTAAGTTCTACTTGAGTCTTTCAATTTTTCTTGATATATATATTGCATATGAAAATATAATATATGATATGATATATGATTATAGAAAATCGTTTAAATTAGAATCAATGAATATCATTACATTATAAATATTTATAATTAAATTTAGACAAAAAACTTAAACAACTGAAGTCTTAAATTAAATAAAATTTTAAATTATAAAATAAGTGAATTCAATTTGACTAGATCTAATACTAACCATATTCACCCATACAAGCTCCAATTCCAGCATAGGCCCATCTACTATATATTTTTCTATTTCTCCTGCCTTCTCGGAAGTTAAAAGGAATAAAATAGTTCCATGTTAACAGAACAGAAGAAATTTCACGTTTTTCTCTTTGACCAATCGAAGGAGATCTGCTAAATTTCTCGTCCCTCTAACATTCTTTCCCGTTTCATCTCCACACTGACAAAGAAGCAGAAAGACCAACAAATTACGTTTTTCCCTTTAATTTTGTGAATTTGCGAAATTTTGAGAAGAGAGCAGAGAGAAAATGAACATATTCAGATTAGCAGGGGACATGACCCATTTGTTTAGTGTTCTTGTTTTGCTTCTTAAGATTCATACCATCAAATCTTGTGCAGGTACGTCCAATTTCACTGCATTTTCTTCTTTATTTTTCAATAATGTACGTCTTTAAAATAACAAAAGTTGAATTCTTTTAGTTAATTTATTGTTTTCTTTTAGTTGTTGTACATTGTATTCAATACCCAAATTAGAACCTTGTTGTGAAATGTGCAAGTGTAGCTTAATAGAAATGCGACCTTTTTTTTTCAATTAATTGGAAGTGAATTCATGTATTTCTCTGAATGGATTCTTAATAATTTGAATGTATATGTATGTATATTTGAATTTTTAGAATAAAGGAGATATGATCAGTTAGGACTTTGATTTTAACTTAATGTTCTGTTAGTTGACAAGATTGAGAAAGAGGCTAAAGGTTATGTATTGGACGGATTTGTGAGGGTTCATGGTTTGTTATGTTTGAGTTCCTAAAATGGCATCTTGTATTTGTAGACAGAAATCTATTGGGGTTTGAAATTTTCATTACTAGTATTCTTCAGGGTGGGAAATTGTAAGGAAATCAGAAGGCATATTTCATTTTGTAGGATTATACTGTAGGTTAGCGGTTTCTATGTCTTGCCAGCATCGGGATTTCGTGACAAGCAGTATGAGACCTAAAACTATAGCTGTAGCTAAGGTATTGTGTTTTTTCTCTCCTTATGAGGAGTCGATTTGGGGTGGCAATGGCACCTTTAGAGTTTGCTTGATCAAGTTCAATTATTTCAGTTTTGCGCAATTTGCTTATGGGAAAGTTCTGTTTTTCTTTTTTTCTATCCTTGAAAAATGTTCTGTGGGATAGGGTGATTTAAGCAGTTATTAGTGGCTAAAGCCATTTACAATTGGAATTCAAGGCCGTTGTTATAAGAAGTTTGATATTTATTGGCTTCGATCTTTTATCCTTGATATGACTTCTTATACTTTGTGCAGGCGTTTCCCTGAAGACTCAGGAACTTTATGCTCTCGTCTTCACTACTCGCTACTTAGATTTATTCACTACTTACATCTCTTATTATAACACTATCATGAAGTTAATATTCCTGGGGAGTTCTTACTCGATTGTATGGTACATGCGACAGCACAAGATGGTTCGTAGATCTTATGATAAGAACCAAGATACATTTCGCCATTATTTACTTATGTTGCCTTGCCTATTTCTTGCCCTTCTTATAAATGAGAAGTTCACTTTCTTGGAGGTATCAACATCTTTCCACCAAATTTTCGAATGTAACAGTGTGTTTTATTTCTTTGTAATCATCATGACCATGGTTCTGATTGCTAAATTTATTCCGGTGAACTTAGAAGCTACATTACATTGTTGATATGTTTATACTAATTATTCATCGAGAGACTATCAGGTTCCACTATTTTTCAGACTATCATTTTCATCCATTGATATGTCTCGGAAAATTGGTTGAGCAGGTAATGTGGGCATTTTCCTTATATTTGGAAGCGGTTGCCATACTCCCTCAGCTTGTATTGTTGCAAAGGACAAGAAATATTGACAACTTGACTGGACAATATGTGTTTCTCCTTGGGTAAACTCCACTCTGTAATTCCTATTCAGTTTCAAGTTTACCATGATTTTATTACATTACGTGAAGGACACTTACTTCCCAGCTTCTATTTTGATATACTGTTTCTTCATTTTGTGTTAATGTGGTGAGGTAGAAAATAGAGAAAATCTCTTAAACAGTGTTGACATCATATTCTGCTTGGTTTTCTTTTTTCCGAAACACGATTAATTGCACTTGATATTTTGCCAGTATAACCGATATCCTTCTATAACATTTGTTTCATGCTCGTGGTGCTTTTATTTTATCTGTTACCTTAAATTAGAAGCTGAGGCAAGATTAAACCATCCATCATAAGATCTAGCTGTTATATTAAGTTGTTAAGAAAGGCAAAACAAAAGTGAAAAGGTTCCTTATTGATTTTGAATAACAGAAGAGACATTCCATGGAATTCGTTACACGAAAGTGGCTTCAATCTGTAACCATAGCTTCCATTAAGTTATTGGAAAAGTGCAAAAAAAGAGTAATAAAGTACATATTATTGGGGTTATTGTAGATGAGGCTGGCATGAGAATATTATGTCATGAAATATTAGGACAATGATTTAGAACTTTTTCTCTCAACATTTATTGACCTTTTGTAATATCATTTTTGACACAACATTAGCAAAACTACCTTTGGTTCCATCTCTTTTCACAACCATTATACAACGAGTCAAAAGATTAAACTTCAGTACCATAGTGCAGAATGTATCCCTTGAATGATTTTCATATTGCCTCCTGTTTCGCACTATGATACATATGCATATTTTATTGTAATAAGTCGTCTGATTGACTAAATGTTTAATTCTTGGTTAGGGAGTAATATAATTCAATTTCTTGCAGTGCATACCGAGCACTCTACGTATTGAACTGGATTTATCGGTTCTTTACTGAGGAGAACTATGTCCACTGGATAAGTATGAGTCTCTCTCTCTATATATATGTATAACAAAGCCCATGGGTGTATGAGAATGCTTTTAGCAGTGTATACATTTCATGTTGTATATCTGATTCCTAACACCTTGTTAACATGATTGCCTTTCAGCTTGGGTTTCAGGGCTTGTCCAGACCTTGCTTTATGCTGATTTCTTCTACTATTACTTCCAAAGGTAAGCACTTCAATCTATGTTGCTCTGATGTTTCATTTTTGTCAAAGTATCTTCCGAATACATCATGAAGAAACAGAGAAAAACCGAACGTGTGTCGGTTGCTTACCCATACTAGACAGTAGCATCGACCTCAATCATTCTAAAAACAGAAAATACTTTACACATACGTTGATGATGGTAATAAATATAATTATCTTTCTATGACTGCAGCTGGAAGAACAATGTAAAGCTTCAATTACCAGCTTGAGACATGAATGGTGCAAGTTTGTAAGTAGCATACACAGATAAACGCTGGTCTGATTCGATTACTGGTGCTTAGCATTCTTTCTTTTGTCCTTTGTTTGGGGTTTCTTTTTGCGAGCTTGTAAGCAACATAGATATAAAGCTTGTCTGATTTGATTATTGGTGCTTACCATATGGCTTGAGAGAGATTGCAGTGCCATATTCTTTATATGACAGATTAACAGACAAGTCATTTTGACTGACAATATCTTACTGTGGATACTTTGTGAGGCTCAATTTTCTTTTCAACTCTTCATATGGTTTAATTGAAAACACAACAAAAACAAAAACAATATATATTAATGAATAAATTTTAATATTTTATAAATTAATTTATTGGTAATATTAAATAAAATATTTGATGTAACTTTTTTTTGTTTTTTTTTCATCAAAACTAAAAATGAGTAGTATGTTTAAAAAAAAAAAAGTTGGTGGAACAATTTAATAAAATTAGCTGCAAATAACAATTACAAAAGCATATAGTTGAAGGAGCTTAAAGTTTAGTTGCAAGAGTTATCAGATCGAGGTTTTATTCGGTCTAGTATATCGTCATAGAGAGCTCCAGTGTTATTTGTGAAGGATGGTATGATGAGATTGTGTATAGGTTATTGTTAGTTGAATAAACTTACTGTCAATAATAGGTAGCCGTTACTTAAGATTGAAGATTTATTTGATCAATTTTGAGAAACGATTGTGTTTTTCAAGATTGATTTGAGACATATATATTATCATTAGAGTATAACTAAACATGAGATGATTGTAATAATATATATTTTTACCTTATTATTAGACATGTCACGATTTATGTATTAGGATATGATTGATCAAAATGAGATTTGTCACTCACATAATAAGAGTAATATCTTAGGCCACTTAATTGAGAAAGACTAGAAATATATGATAATGCTTGAATAAATTGATATGAGATATCATACTTATTTATTTATTTATTTATTATATTCTACTCAAGATATCAAGAAATTTTAAACGAACTAAACAATTTTGCCTATTCCTTCCATGACTTGTGTCTAATTGAGATATAAAATACAAAATGATATAATATGTGAAAATGATTAATCACAAAAAGATTATGTTAAATCATGATCTTTGTAACTTAAGTGACAATGATACATTGTTAGATGTCACTCATTACTTGTAATATTAGAATTATTTAGATATTTCTACTAACGTTACAAGAACCTATAAAGTCATGTCATATGGTTGGAGCGATCTAAGTATGGCTGAAAATATATATTTAATTGTCACATGAATTAAATTGATTAATTAAATTAATTTAATTGGACAGTTATTTAGTGAATCGATTATATGTACAAGTATATTACAAAATAAATATGGTAAAAATAAAATTATAGTTATGAGATAATTATATTTTACGATTATAATAATTAAAATATATAATTATCGTAATTATATGTTTTAATTGATTTATTTTATTCTATTTCAGGATAATTTGGAATTGAAACGACAGAGGAGTTTTATAAATTGAAAAGACTTTGATTTTTAAGTTTATGAAAACACTGTGTTTATGTAGGATGGTCTAGCAGTAATTTCAAATACTCAAGCAAAATACTCTCTAAAATAATTTCAGTTTTATTCTCTATTTTATGTTCGTTTTGACTAGGTGGATGACGTAGAGGCTAGGACGTTTCATGTTGTATCTTGATCGTATTGGAATATTAGTAATGCATGAGAGTGAGTGTGTGTGAATGTAGGCATGAGCTGGTATGAATGCATTAGTTGGTTAGGGGCTGTTAGCAAGCTGTTAGGAGTTGGTTAAGGTTGTTAAAATTGTTGTGCAGTTGCAGACAGCTCAACATAACAAATGTGTATATAATACTAACAGATACATTGGAAATACAAGATACATTTTATGTATATCTTCACTAATCTTGAATCTCAACAAGGTATCTTTCGCTAGACAATTCGGGTGGTTTTCTTCTGTTCTTGCTGCTTGACAAAGAATCATCACAATGAGTATTGATCAGCTCGCTTCTTCAATGGAGGGTGTCTCGAGGAATGCTAAGGCTTTCTCAAATAAAAAAGTCAATGTCATATTGGATAAAGCAATTTTTTTGTTGTGTAAACAACAGGTGCTTCTCACCGTTCGCAACCATAGACTTGAACGGCTTCTCACTGCTCAATGATTGCTCTGTTACTAACGGTGGTTAGTGATTCTAGTGAGGTTGTATTGAACGAGATGTATAAAGAGTATGTGGCTCAGGACAGTGCACTTGCGTCCTGGCTACTGTCAACAATCAGTCCACAACTGCTACCTTAGTTTGTGGGTGCTGAAATAACCTCTGCAGTATGGAGCATAGTTCTTCAATTCTTCTCGAACAAATCTACAACGGCTGTCATCAGCTTGCATTACAAGCTTCAGTCCCTTAAGAAAGGAGATGAGTCCATGCGAGTTTATCTCACTCGCGTTAAAGAAGTATGCGATGCAATAGCATCGTGTGGCAGCACTGTGTCTCAGGCAGTGCATGTTGCGAGCATTTTAAAGGGGTTACCTCATGAGTACCAACCTTTTGTGGTTGTTATAACAACCATGTATGAGTCAATGTCTCTTGACACTATTTACACTATGTTATTGAATGCTAAGACTCAACTAGCAGGATTTTGTGATCCGCTTGAGTCACTTCCGATGAGCGCATATATGGCTCAAGGGCAAGTGTCAAGTAAGAATGTGGATCAATCTGATCGTAACACTGTGTCTCGTCAAATGTACTCGCGTGGTCAATCAACTGGTCGAGGTCGGGGTCGGTCTCAATTGCAATGCCAATTGTGTGGAAAAAATGTCCATTTAGTCAATCAGTGTTGGCATCAGTTTGATGAAGACTTTCCTGGAGTTACAGCCAATAGTAACACTTACTCAATGGTTGAATCAGGAAATGCTTACTATGCTTCCAATACAAGTAAGGACATTGGGTGTGATTGTAGCACCAATCAAAAATCTGGTGCCCATCAGATGTCTTAGTTCAAGTCACAGGCTGCTCGTGAACACTAGGTGGTGGATTCGGGTGCCACACACCATGTCAGCTCTGATGGCATGAACATCTCACAGACAGTGGACTTTAATAATCCAGGTAAATTAATAGTTGGTGATGGTGGTGTTTTAGATGTTAAATCTGTTGGTAGATCTCCTCTATTTACATCATCTGTGTACTGTTGTTAACTGATTTGTTGCATGTGCCAAGAATAACCAAGAATCTACTCTTGGTGTCAAAGCTTGCTAGGAATAACAACGTTTTCCTTGAATTCCATGCGTATGAGTGTTGTGTATGTGATGAGAAAACTGGTTCAATTTTACTTCGAGGGAAGGAAGATGGTGGCTTATATTCCTTTGTAGTTGATTTAGTACCTGAAGATAGGTCCAAGGCAGAGAGTTACTCAGCACAGTTGTCTACAGCTGTGTATGACTTGTGGCACCAGCGTTTGGGACATCCATCGCATGATAGCTTAGTGAAAGTTTGTAAAGAAATAAATGTAATTCTTCCTTCAAGTGTTAATAAAACATGTGTTGCATGCCAAATGGGAAAGATCCATAAATTACCATTTCATGCTTCTACAATAGTGTATGATACTCCTTTCCAGTTAGTTTTCACAGACCTCTGGGGACCCTCACATGTTGTTTCGAATGGTTACAAGTACAATGTCACCTTTTTCGATGCATGCACCAGGCACTCATGGCTTTATTTGCTCAAAGACAAAGCTCAAGCAATCAGTGCATTCAAAATGTTCCAGCAGATGGTTAAGGTGCAGTTTGATTTGCCCATCAAGGTTGTTCAAAGCGATTGGGGAGGTGAATATCGTAGGTTATCAAGCTATTTGTTGAACGCAGGCATTACACACAGGCTTACATGTCTTCACACTTTTGAGCAGAATGGAGTGGTGGAACGCAAGCATCGCCATGTTATAGAGCTTACCGTGGTGTTGCTTGCTAAAGCATCAATGCCTGTTAAAATTTGGGCTTATGCGGTTGTTACTGTAGTTCATTTAATTAACAGGCTTCCTACAAGGGTCTTGCATGGAGCATCACCATTCGAGAAGCTATTTCACCAAAAACTTGATTATGGACAGCTAAGAGTGTTTGGTTGCCTTTGTTTTCCTCATTTGAGACCATACTTGAAGTACAAGTTGGATTTTAGGTCCAAACCATGCACCTTTTTAGGCTATAGCACTCAACATAAGGGTTTTCAATGCCTTGTTGATGATGGTCGAATCTATATAACAAGACATGTGGTGTTTGATGAGAAGCAATTTTTGTTTGTAAAGAAATGTGCTCAGTTACCTGCTGCCACATCGAGTATCAACAGACCATCTGGCTCGATCAAAATCGTTATTGATGTTAGCAGACTTCAAGAAGAAAGATGCACCACAGGGTCCCATCATGATTTAGTAGACAACGCGAATGATTACTCAAGTAGTTTACCTGCTGCAAGTTCAGGTCCCAGGGTGGAGGTTGCTGATAATGTGTCGAGTGCTGAACAATAATTGTTGAGTGATTTTTCAGTTATTGGTCAAAATGATGGTAATACTGAACAGATTGAGGTTGTCAGTACACATGATGAGGCTCAATAGTTGAATATGACTGAAGAAGGTGCAGGAAATTTATGCGATGCACAAATAAATAGTATCTGATGATGACAAGAGTAAATATGGCATATTCAAACCAAAAGCTTTTACCTCTACTTTGTGAGTGAAGTCCCAAGCAATGTTTATGAGGCTCTTAAAATTCTAGCTGGAGAGAAGTTGTTCAGGCCAAGTTTGATGCACTACAAAGGAACAATACTTGGTCAATTGTTAAGATGCCTACAGATCGTGAGGTGGTTGGATGCAGGTGGTTATTTCGAATAAAAAAGAGGCCTGATAGAACTGCAGAAAGACACAAAGCTTGGCTTGTTGCGAAGGGATACTAGCAAGTTCTTGGTTGCGATTTTAAAGAAACCTATAGTCCTGTTATTAAGTTTGCCACATTGAATACAATGTTATCAGTTGATGTTGCAAGAAATTGGCCACTAAGACAAGTCGATGTGAATAATGTTTTCTTGAATGGTGATCCAACCAAGGATGTGTTTATATAGCATCCACATGGGTTTGAGGAGTATGTTGCTGATGGGACTTGCTTGTGTACAAACTTCACAAAGCATATATGTCTTCGATAGGCACCAAGGAATTGGCATGATAAACTTAAAGCTAGTTTGATTAGGATGGGTTTAGTGAATCTCGAGCTGATGTCTCATTGTTTGTTAAGAATGATGAAGGATGTTTT